AGTAATGTTAAATATTTTATTAAATTTTCAGAATTAAGCATTTATAATGTTCCCGTTTATTTGTCGATATTTTCTGATGAAAATTCATCTGTGTAGTCTGTTGTTATTTATTCTTATTTTAAACATTTCACTCTCTACACAAAATGAACAAGAAGGCGCAAAGCGTTCGGTCGCACTGTGACTTTCCTCAGCGTGTGTCACTATGGGACTGAGTACTTCATGTACTTACCAATATATCAGTAGGGTCTAAATATCAGTCCATAACGACACACTTCCCTTTGTTGAATGGAGGGATATATGCAATGATAAAATATCTAACAACTTCAATAAATTTCAAATAATACTTTTTGACCCTTTATTGATGTCAAACACTTTAAATATTAGTAATTGTGATTGCGTTATTTCTATTAATCAAAATATTATCTTGATTATCTACATAATCAAATAAAACTACATTATGTCTAATTGTTCTATATAAATGTCGGTATAATAACCTAATGTGCAAATTTTTGGCTGTTGGGTGGCTGAGTTTCTCACAGTGCACTTTCAAAAGAGAGCGATATCTATGCAATCTACTTAAGTCTAAGGTTATCATGCAACAGCAGCAATTTCTAAGAGGAATAAGTGTGAAAAAAAAAACTTTTGCAACCACAACCATTAATTGCAACTTGACACGAGAAAAAATTAAATTGTCAAGCAAAAGATATAAGACACTATCACCAGAAAGAATAATTCAGACATTGCCTTTGGCATTAATGCTCCACGCAGTTTAGCGTGTTAAGTTATTGCGTGATAGGGCAAGGCGAAGGGAAGTTATACATAATCCCCGATTTCCACAGAATCAGTGAATCATGCTAAACAATCCTGTACAATGCCAGTATCTAAAGATAACCAGTTTGGGATGCTTATGAAATAATCATCACACAAGGCTGAATACCAAGAGCATTAGAATTACTTTAATAGACCAGGGAGTGATATTACATAGGGCACCTGTCTCGAATGACTGTAGTCGTGCTTATGAATTATCAGTATAATCAAATCAAGGTTGTATTGACATTTTATGGTATCACGCTTGGAGATGTGTATTTCAAGACTGACGTGATGAATATCAGTTCAAAAGCAGAACAACCTAACTTCGTGTTTATAAGTTCAATGGCGACCCCCAAGGGCAAAGTGCCCCCACCCCTCTCCAGTTTCGCAGATACCCCCTTTTCACCGATCTTCCTTCTCAAAAACAGTCTAAAAGACGGAAAACAACACAAATTTTAAAAAGTCTCACTTAACCCGACTGAACAAATTATCCTTGTACCCCTCCGCAGATATCTGGATCCGCCAGTGAAGGCACAAGAAAAGTACTAGTGCGCCGATTAAAGGGAAAAGAAGCATCGTTTGCGCTGCCTGGCACAAAAGAAGCATTGATTTACTGTTTACAACGTCATTTTCACCTACATGACCATTATCGAAGACAGTCAGTGCCGTTGTATCGAAACTGAGGGTCCCTGTAACAAAGAGTCCGCCCTCCATTTAGTTAACCTGGGTTAAGTGGGTCAAAATCTAGGGCGAGGCTTACCTTTACAAATGAATGGGAAGCGGACTCCTATCTATCACGGGGGACTCTCTGTCACGTTACACCGGCTTAAATATTGTTATTCTCCTGTGTCATATTCTAATATCATATTCTGTGTCTATTATATCCAATAAAAATTAGATCTAGGTCTAGTGCCATTGATCAAGTTGAGTCAAATACAGGGCAAAAAGGTCTACATTTTTTTAGGATAAGGACCCCCTTTGAAATGTCTGGCAGCATGTTTGTGCGTATTGACTGAGCATTATTCAAGGTGTGGCGGTGCAGTAGCTTTCAGATAGAATTACCTTTTTTCTTTCACAACTACAGGCAAATTAAAACTGTTCCATTATTACACCTTAAACTCAGTAAAGCTCAGATAATTTCATGTGTATGCTTATAAATACAAATCTAAATTGTCAGATATTTATAAAGGCCTATAGAAGTTAGTCATTTACATGTACAGGTAGGCCTACGAGCAAAAATTTTATGCATCTAAGGTAACGCATGAGTGTTAAAGGGAATGGCTTTTTGTTTGTTTGTTTTATCATCATTTGGGAAGGTTCCTCTTTTTCGTCTAGACTCAAAGCTTTTATCAAATTTGATACGCAACACCATTTCTTTTTATTGCGCGTGTGTAGATTACACGCCGAGTCATAAAAAAATGTTTCCACACGCATGCGCATTAATGCCTACGCACGCAGACGACAGGCAGATCAGTTTGCCCATTTGGCATTTGGAGCCTAACTTCAAAAGTTTGGTTGAAATGGAAAAGGTATTGTTTTCCTATCGTTGATTACGCCTGTTTGCTATCGGGTCTTTGCTATACATAGGCCTACTATCCATTATGGCCATTATGTGGGTATTGAATAATAATAAAAAATATATTTAAGGGCAACTCTATGGGATATAACCACCAAAAAGGATTTTTTCGGGAAAATAATCAATTTCTCGTACGCACGAATCATTTATCTATCCTTTTCTGCACTTGGATTCGACCTTAATTCAATTTATAAAGGTTGACTTAGTTTAAAATGACTGGCCAAGTCACTATGAGCAGCGACGATTTCTTTAAGCTACGACGGAAATACATGTATCAGCATGAGGTACGGTCCAAAAAATATTTAAGGGGTTAAGTCGTTTTTATGTGAGGTTTTATGATTTTATTTGTGGGTGGCAAAAATAAAATTTATTGAATTTTCTAACCTTTCAGCTAAAAACGCATCTATAAAGAGACTTAAAACTGGGTATAAAACGCCTGCGCTTTCGCCATATGTGCCTTCTTCAAGGACGACCTGGACTAGCTCGGGTGTGTTATCCCAACTTTTATTTATTCATTTATTTATTCTTCTATTTATTCATTTATTCCTTAAATAAGATCAACACGGTGCTTATGATGAATTTATTACGTAATTATATTCGCAGATAGGGTTTTTTATATTTAGTTTTAGATATTAGAATTCTTCACGTGAACTCAGTTATAGATTTTAGATTTTCCATAATGCACCAAATGGCATTTCCTGGATCACGGAATCTCAAATGTCGTCACTTGCCATTTTTTTTTTCTCAGCTTGTGGAATTTAGGCAGGCCCTATTTCAAACATGTTACATTTCAGTTATATACATTACCAAACTAGTTTAATTTTGATACCACAAACTTAGCCCTTTTCACCTTAAACCTTAAAATGATGTTAGGTTATACAAGCTGTGTATTGTGGTGTGTTTTCCCTAAATACACTCTCTTATTCTGTGGCGGTTAAAAAACTGCGATGGCGTGACACTTAGATAATGGGGCTTTCGGTAGCTGATACCGTTCATCCGCAGGTTTTCTTCTTTTAAGTTCTGTCGAATTACAGTCTATTGCACAACTCCATGTTTTTTGTCACTTGTATGTATTGCTTTTCTAAGAATATCCACGCATACGGTTTCACCACAAGTAAAATCTCGCTCATTTTTTTAGACTGGTCTAACAACACATAGTTCCTAAGGGCTCGTTTAAGGCTATATTCCCATTATTATTATTTTTTATTTATTTATTTTGTGTATCTGGGAAAGGGTTTTGGTATTGATCACCCCAAAACAGAAACAAAGTTGTTAAAGCTACTGTGGCGACCCTGGTGAATATGCCATGAGCCAGTAGATGTACAGTGATAATTTTTAAATGTACATTTTACCGGAAAGTTTTCGAGATATTTTTTTCTCGTTCCGTGTTCTTTTTTTCCGTCCGATACGTGGCAGCACAGTGTTTAGCATGGCATGTTAGCGGAAGGTTACGTGACACAACTTTGTGCTGAACTGTCAAAGAAAACCGCTATTCAACGACAAAACCTTAATCTGATTGTCTGCATGATGGTTTACCAGGGGCGAAGAGCCATAAAAGTTATCAATTTCTCTTCTGTGAAAACATCACGAAACAAAAAGCTCAACCACGATTATATACATTCTAGGAAAAACGCTTTTGGTTTTTAGTTTATTGAAAAGAAAATTGTTCTATTAAAAATATGATAAGATCAAAAGGGGGAGCGGGATATCCAAGATTTTCTGTTGGATAGGCTACTTGATGAACGAATCATTTTCAACCATTTGGCTTACCCCTTTTTTTAATTAATACACTTTAAGGGAAAAAGGTAAGAAAAAAGTGCATTAACACAATAATGCATTAACACAAAAATTGAATGTTGATTGTAAACGACTCAGTAAAAGTAATGAACTTAATTTAAAAAAACTGTAAATATGCTCCCAAGGATATGTCAGTTAAAAGCATGCATTTGGATCCAGGACTATTTGAAGTTTTTTTTTTTTTTTTTTTTTTTTTTTAGGAATGTCAGTCTTCGAATACGATACCACCCTCACCCCCTTGGCTTGGTGGGCGCTCAAGGGCCCCGAAAAATTTTTGTTTTGGAGGGCAAAACATTAACGGTGGTATTTGGTATGGTGGTATTTATATAACTATGATTCAGCTTGTCAGATTTCTCATTTCAAGAGGACCATATAGGTGTGATTTTTTTTTAAAGAAACCGAAGGGGGGAGGAGGGTCGCCTGACACCCCCTCTAAATCTGCCACTGGGTAAGGCAGACTTTAGCTAAAAAAAAACAAACACTATTTTCAGCTTCCCAATCCCATGTATAAGTTTGATCTGCATTTGCCTGTGCTTAAAACTAACCACCTACGACTAATCATTTTCAGTGAGTACTTTAGGCTCTATTTTTTAATTTAAACTCTTTTTATTTGATTCAATTTTATCTGTTTTATTTGTTTATTTATTTATTTTGTCATTTACCAGAAACGTTACACCTGGGAAAAGAGATAAAAATTCCAAGAAAATTATTTTTGTTAAATTAAAATATCTAAAGTGTTCTTTGTATGCTTTTAATAGAATTACTCGATGCGTATTATCTTGGGTACTAGGGCGCCGTCTATCCTAGTAACGAAAGACGCATGCGCATTTCACAAAGGAAATTTCTAGACGTCAGGAAAGAAAGTATTTGACAGATTTTCAGCGTTTAACGACACCATAGTAATTTTTGGCGTTTAAGAGTGACCTACAAAAGCTCACTAGTAAAGAGTGCGTTAGTTTAAAATGTTGGGGGGTTCCTTTTTTAGGGAATTCGAGAATGACCCGTTTTTTAGGTAAGTAAGTCTCCGTACTGACAATGTGGAGATCTCATCTTTTAATATTTAGTTAACTTAAAATGTTCTCCTTGGTGTTGTATTTAAAGCAAGGTAGGTTTAACACATAATAAAGTGTTCTTGTACTCATGAAAACACCGCATTTTATTTTTTTTTAAATATATGTGAAGGCCTACTAATATGTTAGACTATGTCGAAAGTCGGTGTCTGACGGCGTTTACAAAAAAAAAAAAAAAAAAAAAAAAAAAAAAACTCCCAGAACCTGGTTAATCAGCTCTGCCAAATCCTAGCCATTAGTGCTGCCATCTCATGATCTGTGGCACAGTTTCAAACATCATTTACCCCTCTGCAATGCCCCTTGCAACATTTTGACTGTCTCTAACATATTGATTATTATTCATTTATCCCCTTTCACAAGTTCACTTCAAGTGTTAGAACCAGTCATAATATTGAAGGGGTTAAATGGTTACATTGAGCATGGGTTTCCATTTAAATGACTGATGTCTTGTTTAATAATAGTCTGGTTAGAAGAATTTGCCTCTCTCAGAATGGTGTGGTACAAAAAAAGTAGACGCCACAATGTGAACAGGACCTCAGAGTGTTTTGAAGACAGCAAACGGGACTAGGCAAAGCCTTCTGTGCTGTAAACATCTATAAGACTTGCCATTTACCCATAACTCCTTTTCAGACAAAGTCTTGTGCTTTTATGGTGCTGCTGTACATGTGGATTGTGTTTTTTTAAGAAAACTGCATGATTATTGTCTCATATATATTTCTTTTTAAATTGCATAAATTTATGTTCTTATTTTATAAATTGCATAAGTTTATGTTGTTGTTGTTATTATTATTATTATTATTATTAATTTCAGTGGCCACCAAGAGATGATGAGGCACCACGAGCGCATGATGAATGGCATGCTGCAGGATCCGTTCGCAATGCTTAGGAGTGCACACCCACTGGCTCTCACAGATGGGCGGCTGCAGGGAAATCAGCGCGATCCAGGACCAGGCCAACGAAATCGTAGGCAGGAGCTGGCCCCAAGGGATATGTTTGCAGGGGGGATGGACCCCTTTGGCGGAATATTTGGCCACATGAATAGCATGATGGGTAACATGAGAAGTCTAATGGGCAACATGCATCAAAATATGGTAATTTTTTTTTCTCAATAAGTAATAGTCTTACATTTAGATCCATAAAATATGAACTTCTGAATCATGAGGTATGACAGAAGAAAGAACAATACAGCAACAACAACAAAAAAAAGTTGACATGGGATTCAGCAATATGATAAGTACATGCCACCTTGTAGGCATGTGAATGCTTCCCTTCAAAGTTGATTTTCTAAGTGCAGTGGTTACATGCCCTTTAAGAAAGCAAACTAAATTTAAGTATACACGGCAGTTGGCGTAATATCTGAATCCTAGACATCAAAAACTGTGAGCACTATGTTATTGTCTTTAAAATAATTGCTTTGACAGCTTTCACATCTTGGGTTATGTAGTCAACATTGGAGGCTTAATACTGCTCGTACGGTTCAGATTCTTTATTGATAAACACTTCCACATACAAGGTACAATCAGTGACAGTACAGCTGTCTATAACATAGCACAAACAAATAAATATATAAATGATCAGAGTTGTTAACACTTCTGAACTTCTTTCTTAAAGGAACACTTACAGAATGATCCTGATTCCAATGTTCACACATTTTCCCAGTCTTCTGTGATGAGTTATTCCAATACAGGACAAGGGCCGCCCAAGGTGTATCAAGCGACCACTTCTACCAGGACTGCCCCTGGAGGGGTAAGTATACAGGATGTCCCTAAGATATGGATTCACTCTTGGACTGCCCATTACTAATGTTTTTGTTTGTTTGTTTGTTTGTTTGTTTGTTTTTTTTTTTGGAGGGGGGAATATTCTTCTTTTGTGCCTCGGTATTTGTTATTATTCTGATGTTAATTTTTTAATTATAACTAATTAGACTTGGTGCAGTGTCAATAAGCATTTAAATCTAAACAGTATATGAGTATTGGGCAGTCAAAGAGTGGGTACAGATTTTTGGAACAGACTGTGGTATAGTTTATGATTGAAGTGTGATGAGTCTGCATAAACCCTGTTTTCAAGGAATCCAAGTCTGACCCACTTGTATCGTTTCGATGGATACATTGGGAATCGACCAAGATAGCCTGAAATCAGGTCTTCTCCTGTTTCATCATCATCATCATTTAGAGCCTATAGTGTTCCACTGTTGGACAAAGGCCTCAGCATGCTTTATCCATTGTTTCCTATCAGGAGCCTCAGATTTCCAGTTTGGCCAAGGTTTCTTCTTCCAAGACTTCCAGTAGTCATCTAATTCATCCCTCCATCGTTTGACCGGCCTTCCTCTTTTTCTTTGTCCATACCTTGGGGTCCATTCTGTAAGCCTGATTGTCCACCTATTGTCCTTCATTCTTTTGACATGTCCTGCCCACCTCCATTTCATTTCTTTAACTGTGAGCAGTACGTCCTTAACTTTCTCCTGTTTGCAAAGGGTAAAATTGTGTTTTGTGGATTTGATGATTAAATAGTTGTCTGATTTTCAGGGATTTTTTATCTGACCCAGCCTCGTCCTTACATGTAGTTATTTAGGGAATTCCTGGATTTGTGTTCTGGGCAGGTATTTTATAAAAAAAGTGTTAAACAATTAATAAAGGTGTTTTAATGTAATTTAGACCACTTCAAAGATCACAACTTTTTTCTAGTAAGTTATATTTGTATTTTAATGACATTTTTGTTTAGCAGAATATGTGTTGAAGACAAAAATATTGATTTGTCCTATTTGCCGTCAGGTCAGAGAGACCCGTAAGGCTGTCCGCGACTCAGAAACAGCAACAGAAAAGATGGCCATTGGCCGCCATATTAAAGACAGAGGTCATGTGATCACAAAAGCCAAAAACACGCGGACTGGGGATATGGAAGAGAATCAGGATTTTGTAAATATTGACGAAGGTAGAGTGACAAGGCATAGTGATAGCTTAGTGAATTAATGTTGACAGTGTTAGTGTGGAAGTTTTAGATTGGAAGGCAGATGTAAATTAGCCTGACTTTTGGTGTTAATATTTAATATGGTTAATATTGAATAAACTTTTTTCTCAGCAATTTGGTGGTCACAAAATGATTGAACAAAGGCCCTTTGAATTTGAGCATCTTACCAACGGTAAGACTTGTTCATAACACTTGGCAGAATTTAGAAATGTACATGTATGTATAAAAACATTTTGCAACAATCAAGATTCTGTTACAGAGGAAGCACCACGTTTTGACTCTGAGTGGACTCAAAGAGCACAACAAGGCTTTTCCCAGTCTCAACGAGATCGAGACAGTCGTCGTCATCAGCCCGCCATGACAGATGGACGTGACAGGTACGGCAATCACGGAGAGAGGAGAAGGAGGAGGCAAACACCAGCATTAGAGTATACCCCAAGAGATAACAATCCAAGAGCCAGATTCCGAGAGCGGGATCTGGAATAATTAACTTCATCACGAGCATCCTCACAGTTTTCATATATTAGGTTGGTGGGCTTTTGCACTAACAGTGGTCACCTTGGCTGTCCTCTCTGTGGTCAGTGGTTTTGTGGTCAGTTTTGTTCAGACTCACACTCAGGGTCAGTTTCACCCAAGAGCTGCATTCACAATTTTGATTCAACTTATTTTTAAAAGGCTGACATTTTAAATGGCTTTAATCCATGGGAATTCAATGATCTGTTCACCTCACTGAAATCATTGGACCTGCTTCATAGAAAGTATGAAGAGGTTTTTTTTTTTTTTTTTTTTTTTTTTTTTTTTTTTTTTTTTTTTTGTGAAACTGACCTCTGGTATATCAGCTTAACTGTAACATCTGACTACTACCAGCTAGCTCTCTCTTTCTCTCTCCTTCTCTCCTTTCCTCTTTCACTAGTGACAAATCAAAATGAAGCATTACTGAGAGCATGCTTTTTCTAACAAAATTGACATTTGTCACTGTAGAAAAGTAAATGAGAAAAACACTTTTATATATTTTCAGTTGGTATATAATGACCTCTGTTTCTTAGTTTAATAAAGTGTGTTCATGCCTTATGCTGTGCTGCTTGCTACAACAGATGTTCTGCGTACCACTACATGGCATTTTAACCCTTTCAGTGCCCATGTAAATTATGTGATGACAGCTTGCCTAAGTGCATGACTGTAAATGCTGTGCTTTAAGTTTGTCAAACGTAATACATCATTCTAATAAGACTTAAAAAACACTTGGAAAAACCCAGACCCATCTCATTTCTAATTATTATGTAATCAGTTAATTAATGGATCACCGACAACAATTAGTTGCATTTGATGCTATGTGTTTATAAGCACATTCTTGACCTTCCCCCAAAATTTGACCAAAAGCATCCTCTTGTTAGTGAGTTTGGTTGTCAACTAACAAACCAACCAATGTAAATCGAAATGGGCCAGCCAACATACTTCAAAATCCTCTGCTGTAGGATTTTGAAGTAACATGGCCTTTTTTGGAAGGGGTAATAAAATACTTTTTCACAATCATGTATTCAGTTTTGCTTTTATATTTGTGCCAAAAATGTGAATATGATTTGTTAACTGTGTACTTCAAGTGTTTAAGAGTAAAATGTCTCTATTCCTTCTCAACTATTGCTAGAGGTTTTTAACGACGTTTTTCCCATTATTTAACTTTTTTAAAATTTTAATTTCAGAATGAAATTTCCATCAATACATAGCCCAAATCACAACTTTCCATTGACCAAAGTAAACAAAGACCCAGACACCGGCAACAAAAAATACAGTTCACTTCCCAATATAAAGAAGAAAATGGACCAGAGAAAAGATCTCACAGATGACAAAGGCACAAATAAACCGAACCGAAAAGTCAAATTTACCTCCAGGAATAAAAACACTCGACCAAAGCCATATGGCTGAAGTCCAACTGGGAATACCTAACGTCGATAAGAAGAGGAGCGAAGGGGGGATGGGGATGAAAAACAGAAATCAACGAAATTGACGATGTCGGGGAAATAAAGCCCTGGACCAACTGTTGTTAAAGTTTCGAATATATATGTTGTAAAGTAGAAGTTCAAATGCATATCAACATTGTTGTAATAACTTTTTTTCTGGATAGCGGGGTTGCCTACATATTTGAACAGTTTGCTTTAGTTTTCTTTAAGGTTTGGTGTACTTAATTCATTCTAGTAGTTTTAATTTTCCCCGATAGACGTCGTATATTCCGTGGGTGTATTTTGGCAGCAATCTGATAAAGCATAGTATTAAAAGAATAAGTTACTGTCTTTGAGTTTTATGATCAGTAACCACAGGTATATCTTTATTTGAAGAGATAAGAAGTACTCGATGTATTTATTGTACTTCAGTTATTTATGCGGGTTCGCGTGCTTTGTATATGTCATATCGTCTCGGACAGTTTTAAATAACCCGAAAAGAAAAGGGCGTACTGTTTCATCACGTGAACAGTTGTATATAGCGTTGTACATTGGCGTGTTTATTCTGATTCGATCTATATTAACGTGCACCGTGTACAGTTATGAAATATTCAGAATGGCCAAAGTGTTATACCAGTAGCAGGATGGTTCGCTAGATTTAGATTAGGTGGGAGGCTTCATTTCATTTTGACATAAGTTTGTAAAGACTGCTTCTTATTTTGGTAACCGCGGGTGAAATGTGCACTTTGCTTTTTTATGAAAAGTGTAAATTGTCGGGTGTTTCTTTTCCTCCCTATTTTCAGAAAACTTGGTGCAGATTGTTCTAGATAAATTAGCTGCCACGTTGTTTATTTGTTGTAATAGGATATTTGTGTCAAAAAGTTCACTTTAGTCAAAGCCAGACTTTTTGTACAGTGTGGGGAAGATGGGGTGGTTTCCCTTTGGCGGCTTTCCATGTCTGATCTCATTGTTATTCGAATAACGCTGTCTATACTATTAAATAAATGCAGATCATAGATAACAAAAGGAGCTTGTCCTTGTCTCTATTTTTCTTTCTCATTCGGTGTCAAGGCCAAGGGTTTTTTTGTTACTTAATCTCTGTTGTTGATCAAAGTATATACCATCCCAGTTCCGCGAGCGTGTACTTTGTACAGAGCCACTGCGTACATTACTTCTACAAGTAAACAACCTCCCCTCCCCATTACTCCGAGTAATGTGTCTCGGCTCATAAAAAGTCTGCACATCTCGGAACGAGGGAGCACAAGGGACAAGTGGTTTTCACTTCAACCCTCCCACCCCCTCCTGCTGGTACTCCCATTTTATTAGTTTTTTTTTTCTTCTCGAACGTGCCGTGTCCCATAAAAGGTTTCTAGCCCTGTATCCCCCCCCCCCCCCCCCCCCGCGCAACGCATACACGCACACACACACACCTTACCCCTTAACAGACGTTAATGTTTTGGTAGCAGTGTTTATGAGCAAGTTGAATCCCAAGCGCAAGTGTTCCCTAAGATGCTGAAAAGGAGGTATACATTTGTGGTTGCCCTGTGAGTTGTGGGCACTTATTAATCATGCTGTGCGTTCAGCACACCTGTAAATTATATTAATAATCCTTTCTATGGTAAAGCTAAGCTGCGCATTTCGCGTTAATTAATAACCCTGGTGAAATTAATACACCTTCATGTAATTCCTACGTACCCTACACTAGGGTCTTCTCAGGCTTCTCTAGCTTTTATATACAAGCTGATACGCCAATACTTGTACACGCATCACGTGGACATGATGCCTACAGATATAATGAGAAATAATACTGTTTTTACATAATTGGATTGAATCTTTAACTTCATTTTGTAACAGCAGAGATGACCGAAGGCCTCTGTTAGAGTGAAGAATACAGCAATCGGTGCAACCTTTTACTGTAACCTTGAAGTCTAAAGATTGATTTGACTGCAGCCGAGCTCTTGTTTTCACAGGTTGACTAAAGAAAACAGAGTTCACTGGATTACGCCAGTAAAAAATAGGAACAACAATAAACCAGAAAATGAACCATATAAACATTTCAGTGCTAATTTCGGTGTTCTAGAAATGTTCATTTTAAAATATAATAACAGAAAACAATAATGCGCGAACACGTATGCACTGCGTAAATGTAGAAGTGTTTACTCGCTTTGAATAATTCAAACACTTATAAACTCCAACCAAACTTTTTTCTATGTTATACAATTTTTTGTCACATTGTGTTGTTGTACATTATTCTGATGAGCTGTGGGGCTTTAAGATAGATTAATTTGAATATCTCCCATTTAGTTTCGCCTATAATCTTGATAATGTTCATCGAAAGCTCCATACAGGTAGGCCTACTGTACAGGTGAGCGTTATATGACCTAACTTGCCTGTCAATCAGAGGAACCTTCTTGTATTGACCATTGTGTAAGAAAATGTACGTTTATAACTTGTTCGATATTCATGGCGCTTTTGTGTGCAGTAGTTCAGTCAATGGAACTAGGTCATTATTCTGTTCCGCCTTTTATGGCGACCCAATTATATTAACCGCGCATGCTTCAGGCCAGCTACTCACAAACACACAGTGAAGACAACACGACCTGAGCGGCATATTACTTACGAACTTACTGCGTGGATTAAGAGGTATGAAATGGCCATTTTGGGATTATTTGTGGTGCTTTTAACTTTGGGGAAGGTGGTCTCCCAAGACGCAACTACACAGACTATTCTGAAGTACAATGGCAGCGAAAAAAGCGACAGAAATTTCACCTTGATTAGCGAGAATAATAAGCAGAAAGTAAACATGGCGGGCACGCCGGCATTTGATGACTGTGACTCTATGCACGCAGCAAGGTGTGTTGTCTATCCCAAAGATCCAACTGTTAGCGCGGACATAGAATTACTAGTGAACAAGCAAACGAAACTCATCCAGTTTCTCTTTAAATTTGCTGGGTATCCAACGAAAGCGAATCCTCTTCTAGTCAACATGTCCAATTTGTACCGAGGCAATTACTGGTCGCGTGCACACTCTCGTCACGGGCAGACGTTACTCACGCTGGCCTTTAACTACGACATCCTGTCTCTGACCATGTTGGGCATCGGTCAAGTCGACATGGACGTTACTTTAGCCGACCACCCCCAGGGCTGCCTCGCTACTCTCAGTGCCGTTTGTAAAACGAAAAAAATACGCGATCTTCTACTTAACAACTTCGACAACAATGCAACGAAGACGTCGTTGACCATTGACGATCATATCTGTAACCCAGTGGTCAAGAACGTCAGCGGACACGGAGTCTTTCTCTACGAGTGTTGTCGCTGGGTAAAAGGCGAAGTCCGTTGCACTGACCAGTTAAAGGACACGTGGGTCATCGTGTTGGACTATATGATTCTCGCCCTCATGTACTTGGTCATACTTTTTGCGCCTCTTTTAGCACCACGATGGTTGTTTACATTCGCGAAGGATACTTACACGTACGTCCTGAAGCTGGGCCCGGGGGCGGAGGAAAAGAAAATAAGGTTTTCAGTGCGCATGACTGTTATGAGCGGTAAAGAGCGCGAGGCGGGCGTGAGTGCGAGACACGTGTTAGACGTAACTGACCCGCTGGACTATCCCAAGCTGACGCCAAAACTACGGACATGGATACGAGAAAATAAACTCGATAAAAATATTCACGTCGAGACGCCAGAGCTGTACTTAAACGTTGACCTTGACAAAACATTGACTATGCATAAAGTGCCCATTGGAATAATGGATTCGGTTTCCCGAATGTTTTTCCAGTGTAAAGTAGCCAAGCAACCGGGCTGTTACATGTATTGCCACTCGAACTTATGTGGGTGTCTCTCGAGGCGGGGCTGTCGTTGCAAGTGGCTCCACCTGTGGCAGATCATCGGACTCATAATTACGATCATTTTCATAATCCCATTCCCATTCGTAATTCGTCTGATTGTCTACCTATTGTATGAACACGATGAGATGAGGACAAGAAAACAAGCCTTAGAGGACTTGAATCTTCGCCAAAAGTACGAAGACAATCTCCTTCAGTATTTTACTCCCACTCACCCGGCTTTCATCTTCGCCTACGTTTTCTACTTCGTGTGCTGCACCACTTTTTGCCTGGCTTACAAAGGGGTCATTGGAACCGGAACCGTGAAAAAAACTGTCAGGGAGTCCTTCGAAGATTTATTCAGTATCGAGTACAGGAATGTTCTGCAGAAACTCTCGGGCGTGTTTTTGCTCCCTCTGGAGAAATTCGGCATATGGGGTGTTTTTCCAGGCCTCCTGTACTGGATTGTGGTCGTCCCTGTTTGTCTTTTAATTGCCTTCAGTTACTGCCTGCCAACCGCGTACCTTTCTTTGCGAATGTTGTGGAATTCGCAAATGACTCTACGGAAAGGCGCTCGGAAGAAACAACCTGACAATACCGAATTTGAAGAACACGTTAGCAATTTTAAAGCCGGGATTAAGAAAGGGTTGAAGGCCGTGACGGATCCACTCTCTGAGATCAATAAGACATACTCTGATGCATACCTGAGAGAAAAGCTTAACATTAAAGACATGACGTGCAAAGCTAAGACCAAAAAAGTTGTGAAACATTTTCTGGTGGCGGCCCTCTGTCTTTTCTTCTTGTACGCAATCCTGATCATTCTGGCAGAGTGCGCTTACCTTCTAACAGAAATGTTCGCACTGACGTTAATGGGAGCCATCGTGAACGCCGGGACAACGCTGAAATTTTTGTCCCTTCTAACCCTTATTGCGCTGTACGGTTATGACGCATTTAACGACGTTTACAAGGGATACCTTGCTCTTTGCAAAAGTATTGTCACCGCTTCATACAATATGGCGAGCGAAGCCAACACAACCGCCTTGCAACCTGAGGAATACCAGAAGCCAAGAGCGTTCCAGTTAGAACGACCTCAGTTGTATGTAACAAAAACCCTCAAGTACGTGCCGGATGGTTTATCAAAGAAAAAACGGAATCATTATCATCTCAATAATGTCGCTCTGTTTTTGGATTCGAATGACACGGCCAGGATACCAAAGAAACTGTTTAATCAGATGTGCCAGATAGAACTATGTGGATCACCGGGACCGGTTTACAAGAGGATGTGGGGCGCTATTGTGTACCTTCTGTTGGTATCCCTCTTTATAGCGTTCGTATTCGTTGTGGTAGGGACTTTTGGGAATTTGTATAATATATCCACGACTAATCAAACTCTTGCGTCACTTGCCGGCGGTTTTATTCCGTTTTTTCTGCGCAGTTTCTGCAAGCCTCCAAAGCTAGACACAAGTTACACCGGGACCATAAGCTACAAAAGTCGTTTCAACGAAATTATGGCGGCGTTCACGCAGACATGGCCAATTGCGGATCTTGACATGACAGAGTTGCCAGAAGATTATGAAGCATTCTCACAGCCAGAGAGTGCTACCTTAGCAACCAGTCTTGAACTTTCTCCTATGGGCGAGATTCATTGTGATGACGAAACTCATATCCACACGTTGGACAAGGTTGCTGATACTATATTCAAATATGCCGATGCTCCGAGAAGGCAGGTCAGCAGCGGGAGCATGAGCACCATGCGTGACACCAGCAAAACAAGTGACGTTGAAGTCCCGCGAGATTTCAATGACGGCTCCGTGACCATGTTGAATACGTGGCAAGGCCTCCAGGAGCGTGCTCTACTCGCTGATTCTGAACATGTTGATCTTTTAATTCGAATAGACAAAAGGACAATGGAGAAATTGAAAGGAAAACACCCTGATATGAAAAAGAATCTGCGAGATCAAACCGATGTTGTAGATGGAGGTAGACCGGAAGATATTCCGCTGCATATGATTTCGGAAGAAAAAGACGACGACGAAGTATTTAGTTAGAATTTATTTGTGCAATACACCATCCTGCGATCTAAGCAAAAAGTTAATTTTTTGATTTCATCGAGTGTTGTATTTACACAACATGCTTGCTGTTATTATATATTTTGATACCTACAAAGAGAGAGAGGCAGAAATGCATTAACATGAAATGAAAAGCAAGTGCGCAAACGTTAATTCGTATTATTTTATTGGTTCATGTCACATTTGTAGTTAATGAATTGTGTATGAAAATAATTAGAAATTGACCTCCTTTAAGCTTGAGATTAACCGATTCTCGATCTGGAAATCAGTCGAATATCAACTTGTATCCTGACTGAATAGAGGTGCTTACCGGTGAGATTGCGCCATTATCTTGCCTTGTGTGAATATATTGTCAAAATACCTGATATTATTTTTGTTCCATTTGATTTCCCTGACCAGAACCTGACAGGAAATGTGACAAAAATTGGCACTTCTAGAAGAAAGGTGTTTTGAATTACAGTCAGAGGGCTAATACTCCTAAATACTGGCAAGCAGATCTGTTTTGCAAATCGGGTGATTCGGTACTTAAGCCAGATGGAAAACTATGATAAGGGTATTTATAGTTATATTTAATACACTTGACTCATTCACTATATTATGAAGTGAAAGTACTTGCAATTTTTTTAAAATAGATTTATGCGTTTTTTTAATATGTTAATTTTTGTTTTGTATTTTGTGCATAATATCTTTTAATATTTTTCTTCATAGTCCATTGAAAATATTCATTGATATAAGAAACATTGCAGCTGGATTTTCAATTTGATGGCCAAAGTTGTTATTGAAATTGTAAGAGTTGATATTAAATATTGGATTTTTTAGCACACATTCTGTTGTACAACATAAAACAAACAAATGAAGTGTTTACTTATGAAATACCAAACACATATATGTAATAAACTGATAAAAATGCGGTAAAAAAAGCGGCTATGCTAGTATCACATTTTGTAACAAACATACTTGCACCTGCATACTTGTGCAATTCAGGTATGCAGTTCCAACGTTATTTGATATCTCTAACATTCTACAAGTCGTTCAAGTCATAGAGAGGTAAAAGCTAATATTACAACCACCAAAGTATAGGCGCTACTGTTTAAAGCTGATAAACATTATCTGTCTTTTGGTTCTTCTCTATATAAATTGATTGCTATCATTTTTCTTTTGTTATCCAAATAAACTCATATTATATCCAAAATACTTCTCTTCAATCCAATACAGTTCCGAAAGTCGCTTCAAAAGTTGTTGGTCAATTCCAGTATAGTATTTCCGAGCTTCATCGTCGGACGACAATTTGATTGATCGATGCGAGGGCGGGAGCTTGATTAAGTCGTCTGCGCCTAGAAGAGCTAAAATGTTTTTGGTGTCTTCTTCGATAGTCTCAAAGTATGCTACGAAATCGTATCGCAGTTTACAAGGCGAGCACAACTTGTGAAACGGATCCCAGTGAATATTTCCGTTGCCGACGATATAATTTAGAAAATCCGCAAAAGTAGTTTTACGCGTTTTTCCTTCTCTTTGTTTTATATATTTCTTTACCATCGATATAAAAACAAGTTGTTCTTTGTACGCCGAGACCAGACGCACTAGAGGATGGCGGACTGTCATTATTTTAATATGGCTGTTCACTCGAGTGTGGATACCAAAATCCGAGTAAGTGTTAAGTCGACGTTCGTATATTTTTATGTCCGGATAAGGCATATCTTTGTATACCACAGAGGTATTCAGCTGTCCGTTTAGTTGGAGCATTAACTTACGCCATGTTCTGCTTGCTGCCTTAGGAATTGCGCATAAAATTACACGGTGCAAGTCATCGACAATGACTCTATCTGTAATATCATGCTTGGACACGATAATGGGTGTGTCTGTCCATGTGGTTTCATTTAGGTCCTTGCACATCTGATGANTCTACGCAGTTTCTGCAAGCCTCCAAAACTTGACACAAGTTACACCGGGACCATAAGCTACAAAAGTCGTTTCAACGAAATTATGGCGGCGTTCACGCAGACATGGCCAATTGCTGATCTTGACATGACAGAGTTGCCAGAAGATTATGAAGCATTCTCACAGCCAGAGAGTGCTACCATAGCAACCAGTCTTGAACTTTCTCCTCTGGGCGAGATTCATTGTGATGACGAAACTCATATCCACACGTTGGACAAAGTTGCTGATACTATATTCAAATATGCCGATGCTCCGAGAAGACAGGTCAGCAGCGCAAGCATGAGCACCATGCGTGACACCAGCAAAACCAGTGACGTTGAAATCCCGCGAGATTTCAATGACGGCTCCGTGACCATGTTGAACACGTGGCAAGGCCTCCAGGAGCGTGCTCTACTCGCTGATTCTGAGCATGTTGATCTTTTAATTCGAATAGACGAAAGGACAATGGAGAAATTGAAAGGAAAGCACCCTGATATGAAAAAGAATCTGCGAGATCAAACCGATCTTGTAGATGGAGGTAGATTGGAAGATATTCCGCTGCATATGATTTCTGAAGAAAAAGACGACGACGAAGTATTTAGTTAGAATTTATTTGTGCAATACACCATCCTGCGATCTAAGCAAAAAGTTAATTTTTTGATTTCATCGAGTGTTGTATTTACACAACATGCTTGCTGTTATTATATATTTTGATACCTACAAAGAGAGAGAGGCAGAAATGCATTAACATGAATGAAAAGCAAGTGCGCAAACGTTAATTCGTATTATTTTATTGGTTCATACCACATTTGTAGTTAATGAATTGCGTATGAAAATGATTAGAAATTGACCTCCTTTAAGCTTGAGATGAACTGATTCTCGATCTGGAAATCAGTCGAATATCAATTTGTATCCTTACTGAATAGAGGTGCTCACAGGTGAAATTGCGCCATTATCTTGCCATGTGTGAATATATTGTCAAAGTACCTGATATGATTTTTGTTCCATTTGATTTCCCTGACCAGAACCTGACAGGAAATGTGACAAAAATTGGTACTTTTAGAAGAAAGGTGTTTTGAATTACAGTCAGAGAGCTAATACTCCTAAATACTGGCAAGCGGATCTGTTTTGCAGATCGGGTGATTCGGTACTAAAGTCAGATGGAAAACTTTGATAGGGTTTTTATAGTTATATTTAATACACTTGACTCATTCACTATAGTATGAAGCGCAAGTACTTGTAATTTTTTTTTTTTTTTTTTTTTTTTGAAATAGATTTATGGATTTTTTTAGCATGCGAAGTTTTGTTTTGTATTTTGTGCATAATATCTTTTGATAATTTTCTTCATAGTCCATTGAAAATATTCGATGATATAAGAAACATTGCTGCTGGATTTTCAATTTGATGGCCAAAGTTGTAATTGAAATTGTAAGAGTTGATATTAAATATTGGATTTTTTATCACGTTTTGTTTTAGTGCATAAACCAAACAAATGAAGTATTTACTTATAAAATACCAAACGTATATATTGTAGTAAAGTGAAGCAAAATGCGATAGGTTGCAAAAAAAAAAGAAAAAAAAATGCCAGTATCACATTTTGTAACAAACGTACTTGCACCTGCAGATTTGTGCAATTCAGGTATGCTGTTCCAATTTTATTTGATATCTCTATCATTCTACAAGTCTCTCAATGACAAAAATAGTTAATCCACTAGTTCGTCAACATATGTTAACTGTTAAGGTTGCAAAATTCGTATTCACGTTTTTCAGTTTGCAAATTACGTTGTGGTTGCTAAATGCTTATAGTTGAAAAAGACGGTTCTACAGTGTATTCCATACATGATTTGAAGATTGTGGTTGGTGATCCTGGTTAAGACAGACGCAATAGGACAGGAGCAAAACTTTAAGAGTATTTATGAAGTTACAGCTTCCTTGATTGAAAATTTTATGAGGGTGTAGGGTTGGGCATGTGCAAATATTACCGTGTTACAAAAAGGCAAAATTACCAGTTTATAACTTTTTTGCTGACATTCAGAGACGGTTATTAGGGGACCTAGGAAACAAGATTGACTTCTGTTGGGAAAAATCTCCCGATGTAAACATACAACATTTCCAGATTTTCCAAGATTTTGATTATTTTGTCATAGAGAGGTAAAAGCTAATATTACAACCACAAAGTATAGATGTCCTACAAACCCTGCTACTGTTTAAAGCTGATAAACAATATCTGTCTTTTGGTTCTCCTTTATATAATTTGATTGCAGTTATTTTTCATTTTTATCCAAATAAACTCATATTATATCCAAAATACTTCTCTTCAATCCAATACAATTCCGAAAGTCGCTTCAAAAGTTGTTGGTCAATTCCAGTATAGTATTTCCGAGCTTCATCGTCGGACGACAATTTGATTGATCGATGCGAGGGCGGGAGCTTGATTAAGTCATCTGCGCCTAGAAGAGCTAGAATGTTTTTGGTGTCTTCTTCGATAGTCTCAAAGTATGCTACGAAATCGTATCGCAGTTTACAAGGCGAGCATAAATTGTGAAACGGATCCCAGTGAATATTTCCATTGCCGACGATATAATTTAGAAAATCCGCAAAAGTAGTTTTACGCGTTTTTCCTTCTGTTTGTTTTATATATTTCTTTACCATCGATATAAAAACAAGTTGTTCTTTGTACGCAGAGACCAGACGCACTAGAGGATGGCGGACTGTCATTATTTTAATATGGCTGTTCACTCGAGTGTGGATACCAAAATCCGTGTAAGTGTTAAGTCGACGTTCGTATATTTTTATATCCGGATAAGGCATATCTTTGTATACCACAGAGGTATTCAGCTGTCCGTTTAGTTGGAGCATTAACTTACGCCACGATCTGCTTGCTGCCTTAGGAATTGCACATATAATTACACGGTGCAAGTCATCGACAATGACTCTATCTGTAATATCAAGCTTGGACACGATAATGGGTGTGTCTGTCCATGTGGTTTCATTTAGGTCCTTGCACATCTGATGAAGCATTTGTCTTCTCCGGTTCATAATCTCCTTCCATTCCACGGGGACTCTATCCCATTGGAGTCCCTGGAGAAAGTAACACATAAATTAAGAAGCTATGAAGGAATTGGCTTCTTTTGACCAGTTATCCTGTCAAATTACATGTGGCGGCCATTTTTGGATATTTGACAAAACCACCTTTTGCTGTATATATCTCATTACCAGGTTGCCCTATGAAAGCAATATGTTCCTCTGAAGTACATGAAAAATAAAATTGCTGCTACTTTACCAATATGTGAATATAGTTATACCGGTACCTACACACACTGGACAATAGAAGTGTCACCCCCTGAATCAGAGTAATCAAAGTTATAATGCCTGGCCCACATATAATGTGACAAATGAGTATAAAACCGCTACACCATGGAATTGTATTGTTGGTCTTTTTGTGAAATTTGATGTTAATAAAATGATACCAGGAGCATATCATTCCACAGTTATTTAGCTCCCCCAAAGTATTGGTTCAGTAGGGGTGACACTACTATTGTCCAGTGTGTGTACCTGTATGGTGCTGCCAGTCAGGTGAACAGATTTATAAACCTTCTCTGGATTTAAAAGTGGTTGATATGCGGTCTTGATTCCTGGAAAAGAAAGATGGCAAGCACTGCTCAGTTAAATCTGATGAAGTGAATTTATTATTTGACACAATCTTTATACCAGCAATATAAAGACACACTGAATTTTTTATGATGCTGCAGTTCTGTGGAAATTGTGTCATGGAGGCCACGATGGAATTTTATCTCAAGTATTCATTAAAGATTTTGATCATCTCCAGATCTGAAAAATAAACAAACATTTTGAAGTTTTTAAACTAACTGATGCAATATATATATATGTTTTTCTATGTCATACCTGGTTCGAGAACGTATTCACCATTATAAAGATGGGATTGTGTGCTTTCTCAATGGTCACAAAGCTATTCCTTGCCTCCCGTTCATCCTCCTGTTACCAAGTAGTGCTATTGATATTTATTTAATAATTATATTTATTTAAAGTCCCAAATTCTTAAAAGTTCTGTAGACCTTACAATTATAAATTGCTAAAATAGTGTAATATTAAAAAACAGGCGGTAAAACCATTGGATAAAGACATCAAATTAAAAGGTGCACTTCAAATTACATTATTAATAATAGTGTTTCACTTCAAACATCTTCAACATAATATTCATTTTGATACTAAACATTTTTTCCTTCACGTGAGTATTAATTCGCCTGTGTGAGTAACAATGTTTTTTAAATTGATGTTTCTTATGAAAAACAGACAGCTATAGATATTGTTCATATATAAAAGAAAAGGGTGTGCTATAAGTTGAAGCAATTGTTACAAATAGGACGGCTCTAATATAATAATTTAATAAAATGAATACAAATATGTGTATACTGATCTATTTGCTTACCTACGCACAGGAGCACAATACTGGCCCCTCCGCACAATGCAATAAATGCAATGAATCCACACTTTAGGAAAGAGCGTACACCAGACATTGTCACGTAGCTTTTACTGAATAAAAATATAATCTCTTCTTTTTGGACGTTTCAAAAAGCTGCAGGCGCTCAACTGTTGTGCAATCGACAGGAATGGAATTAATTATGCATAATTGCTTCAAAGAAGAAACCACTCTAACCTCAACGGTACCGATATATATATTGTGTATATGTAGTTGATATATTTTATGTGGATATATAAACGTAGTTCATATTTCATATGAATTATTTCAGCTGAAAAGGTACGTTCGGGTAAATTAATTTAGCCTCGATCTCATACAAGGATTGTTAAAAGAGAAATGTATTGTGAGTTGTGTCCATAACGATTAGCCAACTACCTTGTCTGTAAGGGGCCATTCAGAATAGAAGATCCGAGTATTAACTGATCCAAGGATCAAATATGGTGGACCTTACATGAAAGGAAAACAGCTTAATCCTGAAATAGTCGCTCCGCCTCCCATACACCTCCCCACATGTCCGGAGTGGAGATTTAATTACTGTGCCCCTGCAGGGACAATGCGTGGGGAAGATTTACAGGATTAAGCAGTCTCCCTTTCATGTAAGGTCCGCCATATTTGATCCTTGGATTAGTTGATACTCGGATTTTCTATTCTGAATGGCCCCTATCACTATGTACAGGCACATTTACTGACCGGATGGTCAGAGATTCCGGGAGATCGTGGTACGACCCCCTCTGGGGACATACCAGGTTTCTAGCCCTACAGTATGCCCTCCTCCCTCAACACATACATGCACACACATCTTACCCCTTAACAGACGTTAAAATGTTTTGGTAGCAGTGTTGATGAGCAAATTGAATCCCAAGCGCAAGTGTTCCCTAAGATGCTGAGGAGGTATACATTTGTGGTTGCCCTGTGAGCTGTGGGCACTAAATCATGCTGTGCCTTCAATACACCTGTAACTTTGATTCTTTTTTTTTTAAACCATAGCCAGAGAATTAACACAATAAACACAATATTGACAAACAAGTCTGTTTCGCAGATCGGGTGATTCGGTATGTAAGCCAGACGGAAAACTATGATTAGGGTATTTATAAGAACATTTAATACACTTGACTCATTTACTACAGTATGAAGTGAAAGTACTTGTAATTTTTTTAAATAGATTTATGCAGTTTTTTTTTAGCATGTGATTTTTTTTCATACTCCATTGAAAATATTCGATGGTATAAGAAACATTGCAGCTGGATTTTCAACTTGATGGCTAAAGTTGTTATTCAAATTGTAAGAGTTGATATTAAATATTGGATTTTTTATCACACATTCTGTTTGACTACATAAAACAAACAAATGAAATGTTAACATATGAGACACAAAACACATAGTAATAAACTGACGCAAAATGCGGTAGGTGGTAAAAAAAGCGGCTATGCCAGTATCACATTTTGTAACAAACATACTTGCACTTGCAGATTTGTGCAATTCAGGTATGCAGTTCCAACTTTATTTGATATCTCTATCATTCTACAAGTCTTTCAATGACAAAAAGAGTTAATCCAGAAGGTCGTTAACATATGTTTACGTGACGGTTGCAAAATTCGTATGCACGTTTTGCAGGTTGCAAAATATGTTGCGGTTACAAAATGCTTATGGTTAAAAAAGGCGGCTCCACAGCGGATTCAAACGTGATATGAAGATTGTGGTTGGTGATCCTGGTTGAGACACGACGCAATAGGAGAAGAGCACGTAGGACCCAATAGGACAGGAGCACAACTTCCTTTATAGCTTCCTTGATTGATGAGGATGGCGGGATGGGTATGTGTAAATATTACAATGTACCCTATGTTCCATCTGCATAAAACGCAATATAGTATGCTAAAATTTTTTTTTTTTCTGACTGTAACAGACGGCTTTTAGGGTGCCTAGAAAAACAAGATTCTCTTCTGTTGGAATAAAACTCTGGATGTAACACATGAAACATTTCCAGATTTTCCCACATTTTTATTATTTTGTCTTAGAGAGGTAATAGCTAATAATTTAAACACCAAAGTATAGACGTCCTACTAGAAGGTTTAGAAAAAATATCTAATATCTGTTTAAAAATTAGGCGAATGCGTCTCCCAATCTTTAATTTAACACAAACCCCGCTACTTTTTAAAGTTGATAAGTATTTTCTTTTTTTTCTTTTTTGATGGTTAGACTTTACTTTGACAGTCTTTTTTATATAAATTGATTGCTATTGTTTTTCTTTTGTTATCCAAATAAACTCATATTATATCCAAAATACTTTTCTTCAATCCAATACAATTCCTTGAGTCGCTTTAAAAGTTGTTTATCAATACCTGCATAGTACTTCCGAGCTTCATCGTCGGACGACAATTTACTTGATCGATGCGAGGGCGAGAGCTTGATTAAGTCGTCTGCGCCTAGAAGAGCTATAATGTTCTTGGTGTCGTCTTCGATAGTCTCAAAGTATGCAACGAAATCGTATCGCAGTTTACAAGGCGAGCACAACTTGTTAAACGGATCCCAGTGGATATTTCGGTGGCCAACGAGATAATATAGAAAATCCGTAAAAGTAATTTTACGCGTTTCTCCTTCTCTTCGTCTTATATATTTTCTTACTCTTGGCATTAAAAAATATTGTTCTTTGTACGCCGAGACCAAGCGTACTAGAGGATGGCGGACTGTCATTATTTTAATATGACTGTTCACTCGAGTGTGGATACCAAAATCCGTGTAGGAGTCAAGTCGACGTTCGTATATTTTCGTTTCCGTATAAGGCATATCTTTGTATACCACAGAGGTATTCAGCTGTCCGTTTAGTTGGAGCATTAACTTACGCCACGATCTGCTTGCCGCCTTAGGAATTGCGCATACAATTACACGGTGCAAGTCATCGACAATGACTCTATCTGTAATATCATGCTTGGACACGATAATGGGAGTGTCAGTATTTGTGGTTTCATTAAGATCCTTGCACATCTGATGCAGCATTTGTCTTCTCCGGTTCATAATCTCCTTCCATTCCACGGGGACTCTATCCCATTGGAGCCCCTGGAGAAAGTAACACATGAATTAAGAAGCTATGAAGGAATTGGCTTCTTTTGACCAGTTATCCTGTCAAATTACATGTGGCGGCCATTTTTGGATATTTGACAAAACCATCTTTTGCTGTATATATCCTATCACCAGGTTGCCCTATGAAAGCAATCACTGAGAATAAATCGGAGTCCAAGTGACTCAAAATTTGGAGTCCAGCAGTGGTGCCTAAATAAACTCCCAATATTGGAATCAAGTTGACTCCGATGGAGTAACGCCATCCCAGACCCCACAGGAGGTTCACAATTGATGCCATTCTCACATCCCTTCATCCCTTGATTTATCGCTGCAAAAGAGTCACCATCACCCCATATTAAGGTATTTTTGACTCCTTGGCACATTATGAAAAAAAAAAACAACAATAACAGTGACAAGCGGGGAGACAGAAGGTACCGTTTATTAAAGACTGACATGCCCCTGGACGGATTTGAACCTACATGTACGTCCTCCCGCTCCAGAGGCGGACACTCTAACCGCAAGACCATCCAGTCGCATATATATATATATATATATATATATATATATATATATATGAGTTAGCAAACCACCCCAGTGACATGAGGGTCAAATCTACAACCTGGAAACAAAAGCGGCTGACCTGTATACCAACATATCACATAAAGGGTGTGGGCAACTGAAAGCCAGGGCCAAGAATACCTGCACGAGTTCTGCATGCAGAAACACACAGAAAACCACTTGTTCATGCATCAAACCAACTATGGCCAATAAAGTAATGTTTATATTGACAAGGGATGACGAAAACTGTTCTCTCCACGCCGTCTGCTCACTGCCATCACAAGTACTGACACGAGGCTTACTGTCCTGTGAGCGAAAAGAGTCGGTGAAAGGGGTCAGCCAGACACTGGCCCCCGGTAATGTGATTTTAGAGTCAGATTGACTCCATGAGAGCAAGGGGGTGATTGGCTCTGATAAGAGAGTCTAAAGACTCTGGTAGTGGGGTAATTTGACCCTTATATAGGAGTCAAATTAACTCCATGAGGGTCAATGGGTGCTGGACTCTGACTGGAGAGTCAAATGACTCCAATTTTATTCTCAGTGATATGTTTCTGTGTAGTATACGAGAAATAAAATTGTCGCTGCTTTACAAATACATTTATAGTTATAATGTTACCTACCTGTGCGGTGCTGCCAGTCAGGTGGACATATTTCTTATAAACCTTCTCTGGATTAAAAAGTGGTTGATATGCGGTCTTGATTCCTGGAAAAGAAAGATGGCAAGCAGCGCACAGTTAAATCTTATAAAGTAAATTGATTAATTAACACAATATTTATACCAGCAATAGAAAGAGACACTGAATTTTTTATGATAATGCAATTTTATGGAAATTGTGTCATGGAGGCCACGATGGATTTTCAGCTCAGATATTCATTTAAGATTTTGATCATCTCCAGATCTTAAAAACCAAACAAACATTATGAATATCAATTTCTACCCTAACTGATGCAACATAGCTTATGTATATCCTTTACTGTGTCATTCCCGGTTCAAGAAAGTATTCCCTTTAATAAAGATGGGAATGTGTGCTTTCTCAAATCTAAAAAACTATTCCGTGCCTCCCTTTTATACTCCTGTTAATAAGTAGTGCTTTTGATAATATTTATTTAAAAATAACATTTAAAGTCCAAAATCTTTAAACGTTCAGTACACTTTGTAATGATAAATTGCTTAAATAGTGGAGTATTAAAAACAAACGGTAAAACCATAGTGAAAACATCAAATTAAAGAGTGCACTCCAAATCATATGAATAGTGTTACACTTAAAACAACTTCAACATTCATTTTGATTCTTTACATCTTTTCCTTCACATGAGTATGAATTCGCCTGTGTGAGTATCGATGTTTTTTATTATTGATGTTTCTTCTGAAACACAGAGAGCTTTACCCAGCGGGCAATTTATGTTGCTTTAACGTTGAAACAACGTTGAACCATAACGTGGATAAGACCTTGGATAAACGTTGGATTTGAAAGTTGGATCAACGTCAGATAACAACATTGTATCAACCCCAATTGTTAGACAACATTCTTGCATGAAAAGACATTAAAATGACCTGAAATGTTTTTATTTTTGGTACAAAACACAGGTACACAATTATAACGTACACTGTAAAAACATCCAAATGCCTGCTTTGTCTGATTTTTTCAACGCATTTAGCTCCTAAGCATGTTTTGCACCTAAGCATGGTACACCCTTTTAGCCTGGATGTGTTTAGCAGTAGGACCTGTTTGATGGCTAAATATATGTAGGGTATATATGTATGGCCTTTAAGATAGGCTTTCCAAGGTTTAGTTTTATACAACAATATATAACAAAGTCACTGTCACCTCAACTTGTCTATCTATAACAGGGTACCGAGAACTGTCAACTTTGTTTACAGCGACTTATTCATCCTAGTGTTAGCTGACCTTGCAGGGAAGTTAATTGGAATGTATTTCTGAATAACAAGTTAAGAAAATTCACTAGTTCACTAAAGACACAAAACAACTGTCACTATTACTTTAAAACACTTTTTTAATATTTTGATAAAGTTAGCTACAGTATTGATAAACAAAGTATCACGTTTTCAATAATAAATATTTCAAATTACAATCCATGTCTTGCATCAGGACGACCAAACAACAACGTTGAGTCAACGTGACATTATGACGGTGTTTTGACGTGGCTGGATCAACGTTGATTTTACGTTGAATTTGGGTAGCTCAACGGCGATTCAACGTATCAACCTGTTTTCAACGTTGATCCAACGTCACTATGCCTGCTGGGTAGATATTGTTTGTATGTATATGAAAAGTTATATGATGAAGCGATTGTCACATATAAAACGGCTCTAATATAATAATTTAATAAATTGAATACAAATACATGTATGTGTACACTGATCTATTTGCTTACCTACGCACAGGAGTACAATAATGGCTCCACCGCACAAAGAAATGAATCCATACTTTAGGAAAGAGCATAGACCTGACATTGCCACGTAGCTTTTACTGAATAAAAATATTACCTCTTCTTTTTGGAAGTTTCAAAAAGCTGCAGGCGCTCAACTGTTGCACAATCGACAGGAATGGCATGGATTATGCATAACTGCTTCAAAGGAAAAAACCCACTCTAACTTCAACGGTACAGGTGTATATATATAAATAGTGCATACGCAGTTGCTATTTTATGTGGATATATAAACGTAGTTCATATTTTATATGGATTATTTCAGCTGAAAAGGTACGTCACGATAAATAATGTTTAATTTAGCCTCGATCTCATACAAGGATTGTAAAAAGAGAAATGAATTGTGCGTTGTGTTCATAACGATTAGCCAACTACCTTGTCTGTAAGGGGCCATTCAGAATATAAGATCCAAGCTTCAACTGATCCATGGATCAAATAACGCGGACCTTACATGAAAGGAAAACTGCTTAATCCTGAAATGGTCTCTCCGACTCTCACACGCCTCCCCGCCTGTCCGGTAGAATGGAGCCGAGATTTAATTACTGCGACCCTGCAGCGACGACGCGTCGGATGAATTTACAGGTTTAAGCGCTCTCCCTTTCATATTTGATCCTTGGATTAGTTGATACTCGGATTTTCTATTCTGAATGGCCCCTTCCACTATGCACAGGCACATTTACTGACCGAATGGTTAGAAATTCCGGAAGGACGCCGGTTCGACCCCGCCTGGGGACATTCCAGGTTTCTAGCCCTACAAGGGTGTATGTCCCCCTCCCCCAACATATGCACGCACACACACCTTATCCCTTACCTGACGTTAATGTATTTGTAGCAGTGTTGATGAGCAAGTTCAGCTGTTGCGGGTGGAAACAAGGAGCAGAGTGCAAAGGAATATTACAGAATTAATAGCTTCTGTGCTTTCATTGATCATGTGGTGTAAGAACTAGAAAGAAGGTTTAAACCAAAGCATGCAGGTTTGGTAACAGCTCTTGATCCTCACAATTTGGAGTCACTACAGCCACAGCATATTAGTGATATCATGTCCTACTATGGTAAATTTCTTCATAAGGAAGACAACCTAGAAGTTGAAGTGGAAAAGTGGAAACTGTTTGTTAGTGATGTTCCTAAGGATATGCGGCCAAAGGATGCAGCAGCTGCTCATATTTTTTCTGTGACCATGACTATTTCTCTGCACTTCGTAGGATCTTTACAATCTTCCTTGCAACACCAGTGGGCAGTGTTGCATGCGAGAGATCATTTTCAGCCCTCCGTCGTCTGAAACTATGGACACGCACAAGCATGGCAGAGGAACGCCTTAGCGGATTGGCTCTCTTGCTTGTCCACAGAGGAAGAAACGTTATCCTGATCCTGAGACAATCTTTGAAATGAAGTGTTGTGTTGAAAAAAAATGACTGTACTTATGGCAAAATGAACCCACAATTTCTGACTTCTGATTGAGCAATAAATAACAGTTAAAATGCACCAGAATGCAGTATTATACATACAGTTTTTAAAAATTTTCCACACCGTGGGAGGGGGACACCTCCTCCCAAACCCTCCCCTCTCGGGGGCTTCGCCCCCTCGTGTCCACTTACTGCCCCCCCCCCTGGCATTTTGCTCAGGCTAAGGCCCTGAATTTGAATCCCAAGTGTTCTCGAAGATGCTGAGGAGGAAGTATACAGGGTTACCACTAAATATGGAATATTATTTTTTGGCGAGTAAATTTTCTACAAAATATTTAATTTCTCTCTAACTACTTTAAATCCAAAGCTGAGATGTCACTCCATGTGTAGCCAGGTGTGTAACCTAATTACCACACAACTCTCGAAACAATTGATGCATGCAGTTGCATGTTCTGTGGTCAGAAATGTGAGGGGTGGTCTTTTCGGCAATTTCTGCCCTTGTATAAAAACGCATGGGTGTGGTCAATCTTTGGAGTGTGTTTAGAGAAGCAACAAAGGGATCGCTCTGAAACTTGACAGGTACATTAGTGAAGATATGGTTCGACAGCTAAGCAACGCAGCTTACTATGGGATTCTTGCTCTCAGAGAAAATGTCCAGAAACGGACAGCCATTGCCAGGTAATTCAACATTTATCAGGAACCGTTTGTGAAGTCCTCCAAAGAATTGCTGCAACAGGGGCACCTACTCCAATACATCGACCAGGGTGCCCGCGTATCACATCAAGAAGACAGGATCGCCTTCTCCTTAGAGGACGCCGTGCTGGTCGTACAAAGACAACCATTGTCCTCAGAAAAGAGAGGCAGAATGTCATTCAAACGCCCGTTTCAAGGTCCCTCTTGAACCAGATATTACTGCAAGCCGGTTATTTTGCACAAAGGCCAGTAGGGAAACCACTGTTAACAGCAGGTCATATACAGCGACGTCTGCAATGGGCTGGGGACCACGTGCGTTTGCAGCCAAAACACTGGAATCACGTCGTTTTCAGTAATGAGGCCAGATATGGATTTTTTAGGGTTGATCGTCGAAACCGTGTCCACCGACGTGTACGAGGGGCATAAAACGATGATTGTGTACTGCCTTGGGTGAAAGCCAAGACAGGTAACGTCTCTGTTTGGGGAGCATTTCATGTCAGTGCCCAGAACCAGTTGGTTTTTCTAGGAGGCAACCTCATCCAGGATTACTACAGAAACATTCTACAGCAAACAATGGTTCGACTGGTAAGAGTCATCTTCAGGAACAACTTTGTGTACCAAGACGACTGCGCAACCCCACATCGAGGCTGCAGAATCACTGTTTTTCTTCAAATCCAATGGGTTCAGCAACTGCCCTGGCCTGCAAACTCTCCAGATATGAACCCAACTGAAAATCTGTGGGCGGAAGTAACTCACAGAATAAATAGCTATGGTGTCGGCCGGTAAATAGTGATGAACTGCGTCAGGCAAATATCACTGCGTGGAATGATATCCCCAGCCAAACTCTAAAAAACGTTTCACAGGGTATGCCATGTAGGTTGAGGGCGCTGCAAGCGACTGCTGGAGATCATACCCGCAATTAATGACTTTTCATGATTTACTGTAGTGAGTCCTTTGACTGTGTAACATATCACTGTCTGGAGGCTATCAGTTACTTTTATATCTTATCTTAAAGTTTATACTGACATCAAACTGTTGATATGGTTTTCTGGGGGTGTTCCTTTCTTTTGAATGGCATCTTATGTCAGATTTAATATTATTGACCAAAATATCTCACAACAGAAGACTGGATGTTATTATCACTCAGTGACATACTTTTTTAATGACTCAAGCCCAAAAAATTTTAATCAGCACTCAAAAATAACAATGATAAAAAATATTCCATATTAAGTAGCAACCCTGTACATTTGTGGTTGCCCTGTGAGCTGTGAGCACTAAATCATGCTGTGCGTTCAATTCACCTGTAACTTGTATTCCTCATTTATTTATTTTTTATTTATAGCCAGAGAATTAATACTCCTTAATACTGGCAAAAGGGTCTGTTTTGCAGATTGGCTGATTCAGTATGTAAGCTAGATGGCAAACTATGTTAAGGGTATTTATAGGAACATTAAATACACGTGACTCATTTGCTATAGTATGAAGTGAAAGTACCTGTATTTTTTTTTTTTAAATAAATTTATGCAGTTTCTTTAACATACGAGTTTTTGTTTTGTATTTTGTGCATAATATCTTTTAATATTTTTCTTCATGGTCCATTGAAAATGATATTAGAAACATTGCAGCTGGATTTTCAACTTGATGGCTAAAATGTTATTGAAATTGTAAGAGTAGATATTAAATATTGGATTTTTTGTCACACATTCTGTTTTACCACATAAACCAAACAAATGAAATGTTTAGTTATGAACAATGCGGTGGGCTGTTTAAAAAGCGGCTATGCTAGTATTGCATTTTGTTACAGTCATATTGCACCTATCGACTTGTGCAATTCAGTTATGCAGTTCCAACTTTATTTGATAACCTCATTCTACAAGCCCCTCAATGACAAAAATAGTTAATGCAGAAGTTCGTTAACATATGTTTACGTGACTGTTGCAAAATTCATATTCACGTTTATCAGGCCGCAAAATATGTTGCGGTTACAAAATGCTTATGGTTGAAAAAGACGGCTCCACAGCGGATTCATACGTGATATGAAGATTGTGGTTGGTGATCCTGGTTGAGACACGACGCAATATGAGAAGAGCACGTTTTCATGCAGTTATAACTTTCTTGACGGAATATTTTAACGTGGGAGGGGTTTGTGCAAATTTTACAATGTACCCTGTGTTCCACCTGACTTACAGGCAAAATCGTCTGCTTATCTTTTATTGCTGACTGTAACAGACGGTTATAAGGATGCGTAAAAAAGCAAGGTTACCTTCTGTAGGAATAAGGGTGCTTTCCCAGAGATTTAGATCGATCTAAAGATTAAGTTTTAGATCGAACTAACTCCCTGGGGGTTCAGGCTAAATTGCAGTCAGCCGAGCGGACACCATAGTTAATTACCCCCTTAGAGCTTTTAGTAGGCGGGACAGACGCTTAAGCCGGCCAAGCTGACAGTAATCTAGTGAGACTCACCACAGGGATAGATCGATCTAAAAATCTATGGAAATGGGGTGTAAAACTCCGGATATAACAAATATAACATTTCCAGAATTTCCAACATTGATTATTTTGTCTGAGAGATAATAGCTAATAATTTAACCACCAAAGTACAGACGTCCTACTAGAACGTTTAGAAAAAAATATCTAATATCTGTTTAAAAAATAGGCGAATGCGTCCCCTAACTTAAATTTAACACAAACCCCGCTACTTTTAAAAGATGATTATTATTATCTTTCTTTTTTCTTTTTGATGGTTAGACTTTACTTTGACAGTCTTTTTTATATAAATTGATTGTTATTATTTTTCTTTTGTTATCCAAATAAACTCATATTATATCCAAAATACTTCTCTTCAATCCAATACAATTCCTTGAGTCGCTTCAAAAGTTGTTTATCAAGTCCTGCATAGTACTTCCGAGCTTCATCGTCGGACGACAATTTACTTGATCGATGCGAGGGCGAGAGCTTGATTAAGTCGTCTGCGCCTAGAAGAGCTATAATGTTCTTGGTGTCGTCTTCGATAGTCTCAAAGTATGCAACGAAATCGTACCGCAGTTTGCAAGGCGAGCACAACTTGTTAAACGGATCCCAGTGGATATTTCGGTGGCCGACGAGATAATTCAGAAAATCCGTAAAAGTAATGTTACGCGTTTTTCGTTCTCTTCGTCTTATATATTCCTTGATTTTTGGAAATAAAAAAAATTGTTCTTTGTACGCCGAGACCAGCCGCACTAGAGGATGGCGGACGGTCATTATTTTAATATGACTGTTCACTCGAGTGTGGATACCAAAATCCGTGTAGGTGTAAAGTCGACGTTCGTATATTTTCGTTTCCGTATAAGGCATATCTTTGTATACCACAGAGGTATTCAGCTGTCCGTTTAGTTGGAGCATTAACTTACGCCACGATCTGCTTGCTGCCTTAGGAATTGCACATATAATTACACGGTGCAAGTCATCGACAATGACTCTATCTGTAATATCATGCTTGGACACGATAATGGGAGTGTCTGCACTTGTGGTTTCATTAAGATCCTTGCACATCTGATGAAGCATTTGTCTTCTCCGGTTCATAATCTCCTTCCATTCCACGGGTACTTTATCCCATTGTAGCCCCTGGAGAAAGTAACAAATCAATTAAGAAGCTATGAAGGAACTGGGTTCTTTTGACCAGCTATTCTGTTAAATTGTTTGGCGGTCAATTTTGGATATTTGACAAAGCCACCTTTTGCTGTATCCTCTGAAGAACGTGAAAAATGAAAGTGTTGCTACTTTACTAATATGTGTATATAGTTATAACGGTACCTACTTGTAAGGTGCTGCCAGGCAGGTGAACAGATTTCTCACAAACCTTCTCTGGATTTAAAAGTGGTTGATATGCAGTCTTGATTCCTGGGAAAGAAAGATGGCAAGCACTGCTCATTAAATCTTATGAAGTGAATTGATTATTTAACACAGCATTTATACCATCAATATGAAGAAATACTGAATTTTTAATGATGCTGCAGTTCTATGGAAATTGAATCCTCGAGGCCACGTTAGAATTCAGTATAGATTTTGATCATCTCCAGTTTTTAGAAATTAACAACCATTATGAAATTTCTACCCATACTGATGCAATATAGCCAGGCCCGTCGTCATGGGGGATTCGGTGGTACGAAAGAACCATCGTTTTTGTAAGGAAAACGTCTATGCTGGGTGAAATTTGTTCTGGGCACACAAAGGTTTCATTGTAAAAGGTCCACTTCTTTCGGAAAAAAAAAACCTTTTAAAATTGCTGGCTACGGGCCTGAATTTAATGACTAATGTTGAAAAAAGTATTGACCGATTCGGCAAGCAGATAAATTGATTACAGCCAAGGCACTAATTATTACTATTCTGAAAAAAGGATATAATAGTGATTTAGTAAGACTTCATTGATGGCTTCAGAATATCTCACTTTGTACGAATAACTCTAGCTTCATGTTTATAGTGAATAAATGGGACTGCAAGATGAAATAGTTGAATAAAAGGAACACAATACATATATAGTGATCTTTCTGCTTACCTACGCACAGTAGCAAAGATATGGCTCCTCCACACAACGTAATGAATCCACACTTTAGGAAAGGACGTAGACCTGACATTGCCATGTAGTTTTTACCGAGTAGATTTATTATTTCTTCTATTTCGACGTTTCCAAAAGCCGCAAGTGCAACTGTTGCATTGGCAGGGATGGAATGATAATGAATTATAAATCATTGCTTTAAAGGCAAAGACAATTCCAACCTCAAAGTTATATATATATATATATATATATATATATATATATATATATATATATATATATATATATATATATACGTAGTTGCTATTTAATATGGATATATATGTATACGTAGTTGATATTTCATTTGAAAAGGTACACACAATGGACGATAGAAGTGTCATCCCCTGAATCAGAGTAATCAAGTAATGATCAAGTAATCAATAATTGAAGTAGGCAGATCTTGAGTAGTGCCTGCCTGCTCTACATTGTGTGTGTGTGTATGTGTGTGCGTGTGTGTGTGTGTGTGTGAAATTAGATGTTAATAAAATGATACCAGGAGCATATCATTCCACAGTCTTTTATCTCCAACAAAGTATTGGTTCAGTAGGGCTGACACTTCTATTGTCCAGTGTGTGTACTTCCGGATAAATAATGTTTAATGAAATCCGTTTCTCATACAAAGATTGTAAATAGAGAAATATGTTGTGAGTTGTGTCCGTAACGTTTAGCCGTCTGCCTTGTCTGTAACATTACGTACAAACACATATACTGACCGGATGGTCCGCAACTGGAGGACGTGGGTTCGACCCCGTATGGGGAAATGCCAGTCCTTCATAAACGGTATCTGTATCCCCACTTGGCACTCAGCATCAAGGGCTTGAAGCAGGAGTAACGTCCCTGGTTTGGCGGTGAAATATATTGTTTGTAAGCTAGCTTTCAGTGCCTCATATGCAATGTAGCAGTTGGGCTGTATCCTCCCGAGGGAGGCAAAAATACTGATCCCCAGTCTGTATCAGGACCGAAAATGACTAAGTGTCTAATGTTAACCAAGCTGAGATGCATGTGGTGTGCGGAATAGGCCTACAAGGGCTGAACTTTAATTTAATGGAATATGTGTTGGTTTTATTAGGAGGATGGCCATGGTCATACTGGTAATTGTGCAAAAAAAAAAAGAAAGAATGCACTGCAAAACCATGTTCCATCTCAGAGCCCAAGGCTTGGGCTGCGTTTTTAGATTTTTAGAAAATAGATTTTTCATGTGAACGCAGACTTGGGCACCCATAACTTGCCACCGGGAGGCAGAACCCACTGTTCAGAATAAGTTGATCAGCGGACCTACAGATCCGCTAACTAAATATGGCTAACTCACTTAAAAGCAGTGCCGACTAACTCTAAACCTAGGACTAGGACTAAAACTAACTCTAAACCTAGGACTAATTAAACTTAGGAGCCGAGATTATATCCGATCAAGGTGTGGTCAAGTGGGGTCGGCCATATTTAGTCGGCTGATCAGTTAGTCCGCGGATCATCTGTTCTGAATGCGAATTCTGAATCCTGCCGAAATGGTCGAATTGGAGCTCGCAAATATTTTAGAAAACTTTGACTTTAAAAAATCTGGTGAGGTAGGTACATGCAGCTGTTAGTTCAAAAGATCTAATAACTAACGCTTTCTTTTCATGCTTCCTGGTGTCAAACATGCAAAAAAGACAATTTGCTTGTTTACTATAGCATCGCTTGACTTTATTCATGGTTAAAATCAATTATGATTGGAATTGATAACCTAATTCGCCGTTCTTTCCAGCAATTGTTTAGATACTTATTTGGAAATCATCCACGTAATTAGTACAACAGTGCCCTCGACGATGACCCCATGGGTGTGTGTGAGAGAGAGAGAGAGAGAGAGAGAGAGAGAAAGAGAGATTTCATCGACAACGGAAAGTTTCTTGGTATTACGTAGTTGCATTGTAAGTCTAATTATTCAAACTTGAACTTAAGGCCCAATGGCTCAATCTTTTCTGCACACAGTCGATCTAATATTTCCGACTGCTCGGCACTAAAAATATTTTTCCAGTCCCCAACTTGTCCTTTTCTACAAAATGGATGCTCTTGATGAAAAGAACGGTGAAAGTTTGTAGTTGGATCCTCTCTAATTATGTTAAAATGTGTCAGCTCCACGATTTTTGCAATATCCTCGTCACTCTTGGGTATCTCGAGAAACTCTGCGAGATTTTGCACGGTCTCGCATGGGTTTGATAGCATCTCTTCGTATCTCAAGGTCAGCATTCGACTATTGTGGCGACGTTCCCAAAAGCCTCTTGTGTGGTCAAACCAGTCGCCATACACGAGTTCTTTGTTCAGAAACATATCAAAGTATTCAGCCCACGTCCCAGGCCATTGCCCAAGTAGATCTTTATTGCTGCGATAAAAATGAAATAGCGACACTAGCACATCTTTGGGATTTCTGGTGATGTGGATAAACCGGGCCTTAGTGTGGAACATGTGCAGCGGAAGGAAGTCATAAGCTAAGTGCGTGCGCAACTGCCTCGGTTTTCGAACAGTGTCCAAGAGTTTATGATATGTCGTGCCGTTATATGCTGGTGCAAAATCCAATTCCAATGCGTCCACGCGGAATTTGAAGTTGGTGTTCCTCTCCAGCTCTGAGAAGTCGCAATTGATCAACATTTGGACCATGTCCATTGTCCATGTGGATCCTGAAATATTGATAATATTGATATAATATATATATTCCTGGAATACTAAAAAAGATTTAGATAATATTACTACAGGGTTTTGTCAATTTTACACGTTTATCCTCAAATATTGGAAAGTTTTTTTTAAATTTATTTGATATAGTATATCACACATTGCCCACGACGATTCTGAAATATTGAAAATTGATATTGTTTATTGTCTGTGTGGATCCTGAAATATTGGAGAGGTTTAGGTGATACAAAGAGATAAACATTATTATTATTATAATTGCAGAGAAACGGCTAGCGTTCAGAATTATTTCGTCAGCAGATGCAATGAATAGTAGAATATGGCATAATATTGTCACAAAAGGTAGGCCTATTTGATAAAAACAATCGATTTATTTTAAATTCCTTTCATACGCACCGGGGTACCCAGTATGATTATTTGCTAAATTGTAAGTAATGTTTTAACATTAAAATATCAATTTAATAAAGGGCCT